GACGAGAGGGAGTAGACGAGGAGCGAGTGGACCATACGGTGAGAAAGGAGCAGGAACGTGAGAAGGAGCAAGTGGAAGGAGGGACTCGTGTGGGTCAGTTGAACGCACCACCAATCCACGGCAGCTCCATACCCCTCACATCTGATAATCTCTGGAGCAACATACTCTGCAAGACGATGTCAAAACAAGAACAAGAACAAGAACAAGAACAAGAACAAGAACAAGAACAAGAACAAGAACAAGAACAAGAACAAGAACAAGAACAAGAACAAGAACAAGAACAAGAACAAGAACAAGAACAAGAACAAGAACAAGAACAAGAACAAGAACAAGAACAAGAACAACAATACAAAAATAAAAATTACCTGGAGTCCCGCACAGAGTCCAAGTTCGATCCTCAACAATCTGAGTTGCAATCAGTTCTTTTCATCTTTGTTGACTCTCTTTCTTGTAATATCTCCATTCTCTCATCACTTCCATTTCATCATTCTCTGTTTCGTTTAGACAAAGATTCTTCTCTCCTTCCCTCTGTTCTGTGCTATGCTCTTCCCTTCCCCTCCCTCCCCTTTCCTATTCGATCATCCTCCCTTGTTTACCTTCGCAAAACCAAAATCAACAATCTTGACGTATCCTGTCCCGGTGTTATGATGTGATGAGAGAGAGAGGATAGAATTACCTCGAGAGTCCAACATAAGATTTTCAGGCTGAAACATGAAAGATTAGAACAATCATCGCCATCTTCATCTCCATCATCATCATCATCACAATCACAATCACCACCACCACCACCGCCTCTGACATCATCTTCTCCATCATCTTCAAAGTAGAATGGGATGAAAGCAACACTTCTGAACTTCTTCATCATCGCCTCCCAATCATTCGCACAACTTCCGAATCAACAGACAATCAATTTGTAGATATCATCTCTAGACGATCAACTTGTCAATCTCGTAAGCAGCAACCTTGAGATCTCGGTAGACGATGTTCATCGAATGAAGATGATGAAGACCAAGAATGACTTGCGCGCAGTAAAACTTGGCAGTATCCACCTCAAACCTGACCAGCATGTTAAGACGACGACGACGACGACGACGACGACGACGACGACGACGACGACGAGGACGAAGAGGTGAATGGAGGAGGAGGTGAATGGAGGAGAAGGTGAACGGAGGAGGAGGGGAAGGGAAGGGGGGGAGGGGAGGAGGAGGAGGAGAGAGCAGGAAACAAGATATTATGACGATGAATTGATGATGAGGAAGAGGTGGTGTGATATCGAGAAAAGAATGATAGTCAATCACTCAGTCAGTCAGTACCTTTCCAGCCTTCTTAGCAATTTGAACATTTCTCCACCCTGCGCAAGTTCCAACACCATGTACAGATTTCGTTCATCCTGATCACATTAATCTCAATTATCCTCTCCCTACTTGCAGGACAGAACTTTTTTTCACCTGGAAAGTTCCGTACAAAGTGATGATTGCTTGATGTCCATTCGTAATCTCCATGATTCGTTTCTCGTCAAGAATGTGTTCAACCTTCGATGATTGTCATTTCCAATCTTTCTCTCAAACAAGACAACAGCCAAAACTACCTGACGCGAACCAAGCACTTCCACCTTCTTCAGGATTTTGAGAGCATACAAGAACCCTGTCTTGTTGTGTTGGGCAATCCTGACAACTCCAAAGGATCCTTTCCCCAGCACTTGTCCTACTCTGAACAAGCAGCTTCCTCCGAATCCCAACTTTCCGACAAACACAGTTGGTTGCTTGTCTGGTTTCTTCTCTTTTTTCGTACAAGAGATACCATTCCCCCCATGGTGTTTGCTAAACCGTCAAGTTGTGTATCAACACATCCTCAAAGAGCAACTGTTTCAAGGGATGGTGCTATGGTGCTATCAGGTTTGTCGACATCCGGTCATTTTCAAGTGAGCAATCCACTCGATGTATCTGGCGTTTACCTTCCCTCACCTCCATTGATACCTTGACCTGCTCCGTTCATCCTTTAGTCGCTTCCTAGCCACACCGACCAGAGACGGGAATTCAGGAATGCTTTAAGCCCTGGGAAGGATCAATCAGCTGCGCATCCTCCTCATTCGCTCGCTTCATCCACCATGACCGCAGAACATGTGCTCCCACAAGTCCTAGACCACAGCTTGTGTGCACCATTCGCCCTACGTCTTATCATCTTTGCAAGCACCCCCAATCCACTCCTGTCCCCTTACCCTCCTGTCATGTTCTCCTTTATCACCGTATCCTGTCATGCTCGCTGCTATCCTATCCTATCCTATCCTATCCTATCCTATCCTATCCTATCCTATCCTATCCCATCCCATCCTATCCTATCCTATCCTATCCTATCCTATCCTATCCTATCCTATCATATCCTATCATATCATATCATATCATATCATATCATATCATATACTGCCTCCTCTATTCCCTCCTCACTCCTCACTCAGCTTCTCATCTTCGCCTCAACACACTTGCACCTCTTTCTATTCTCTTTCTGGTTCAATTCTCTTTCCTCCCTCCTCTCTTCTTTCTTTCCACTGTCCTCTCCTCCTCTGCCCCTCCCCCCGCCCCTCAGCCTGTTTCCTCTCATTCTTTCCTCTCCACTTCCTCCTCCGAGTCGCCGCGCCACTGGCTACCTTCTCTGACACTGAGTGGTCCGAGTCCTCCCAGTAGCTAGCCTCTTCCTCTCTTCCTCTCCTCATCTCCTTGCCCTTGCGCTCCTATCCTCCCTCCTCTCTCCTCCTCCTACCTCCCTCCTACCTCCTCCTCCTGCTCAGTTGTCGTCGCATCGCCTCTACAGTTTGACTGCGCCATCACACAACTGACGTGCTGAATGAGTCTTTGCGACTACCCACCCCCTAGTCGCATTTGATTAACCCACCCCCATTTTCCTTTGAAAGGCAACAAAACCAGTACAAATGGTACCCCATAAGATATAGATCAACACTACCACCCCTACCTCCCCTCTTCTAGACCTACGACTATTTGCATTATTGGCGCTACTTTGTACCAACTGACGACCATCTTCACTACCAGCTAAAATTAAGTACCAGGTAAAATTGTAAAATGATGAATTGCGGTACACTGATGGCGACACTGGAGGAGGCTCGTACTGATTTTTACTTAATGTTGAGTAAAGGCAAAAAGTAAAGAAAACTGGCCGGGCACTCAGGGCCTGAGTCCGCGGCTGCCAGCACGCTGCCGGGCCGCCCGGCCACCGTTACCGTACCGGTGGCCCTGGGCCGTCCGATACGGTCATGGCGGGTCCGCCCATCGGCACGGTGTCGCCGAGTTGAACCGGGGGCGGCCCGGCGGCGGCCCGTCCGCCGATCACGGACAGTGACACTACCAGTGGTCCGAGGCCGCGCCTGCGCCGGATCACTGCCCCTTCCGATTCGGAGTCCGGGAGCCCGGCTGGCGGCTCAGAGCATTGCAGTGGCGCAGCCTGTGCCACTAACAGTCCCGGGCCCGGGCGGCGCAGGCAGCGGCCGCGGCGAAAAGGGGGCCTTAGTGACTTGTAAGAGTGTTGTTCACGGAGTCCTGTTAGTCTCTTCTTTCAATCTTCATGGCAAGTTTGTTTCCGATCCGCACTTCACGCCGAGAAAGGAAACTGACGGGGGCCGGAAAACAGGCTGACGAGATAGGAAGGAGATGGAATGCCATGATGCAAGGAGGGACAAGCGACGGATGTTTGTATTGAGTCAGTATTTTTGAACTTCAGTGTGTAAGGGTGGTAGAGCGAGCAGGAAAGAATAACATCGAAAACAAAGATGAACGCTGATCCATAAGTCGTATCAGAGCTGGGAAAAGGTAGATTGCGCATCTGATCCTTGTTTGCCTGTCTGTGTGGCTGAACCTTCTTGGCTGTTGAGTTTCTCGATAGTCGAGTTGACTGTGTCCTGATATTCATCTTTCAGCGTCCGAAAATTCAAGAGTAAGGGAGAGAGTAAGGGATAGAGTAAGGGAGAGAGTAAGGGATAGAGAGTAAGGGAGAGAGTAAGGGATAGAGAGTAAGGGAGAGAGTAAGGGAGAGAGTAAGGAAGAGAGTAAGGAAGAGGGAGAAGGGAAAGAGTAT